AATTGATTGTTCAATTAAAGTGCGTGGATAAGTGTACAAGCTTTGCTACCTTATTAGGATAATCTATATTTAAATATATACAACATGAAAGTCAAATTAATATTAGAATATATACAACTTTATTAATGGAATAAAACTGTCACATATTGATCACAAGATGCTTTAAATGTTTCACATTTTGAGTTATTTGTTGCCATATAAAATTTGAATTCAAACATGGAAACATCAAGAACTATTATTGTCAGTAACATGCGTTATGTGGCGACTAATCAAATTATTACTGAACCCTAAACTTCACAATCAAATACACAAGGAACAATTTGGCATCATGATCACTATCAATAAATATACAGTTTTCTCGTGATGTATTACTTCAACATGTTTTATATTAATATTGATATCATTCATTACTGTTTAATTTTAACAACATTTAATTGATTTTACAAAAATATTGAAAAGTTTTCTCAGATTGATAACACAAAAATCGTTCTTGAGTCGCCAGAAACTGTAATATATAAAAATAAATATTTCACCAATTCACTAAACAAAAATAATGCAACTAATTTCTATTTTACTTTGTAATAAACAATATCTGGTTCGACCTGTTATTGCAATTCTCTATATTACAAACATATCACTAAACCTATGTGGGTATTCGTATTCAAAAATTCAATTTAATGGTATTTCACAGTACAATTTTATATTATGCACAAGCACATTTATATCAACTTTTTAAATGAAAACAAAAACGAAAAACAGTTTAAATTCTAAAAACCCTCACAGTAATTAAGCTGAAAAATTTAAGACTAGGATTGTATTGAAATAACCAACGTTTTAATACATATTGGTTCTCACTTGTTCACATCATCACAAAACTATTCTGCTGACATACTAGGAAACAACCTTTTAGTTTTGGTATTTTGTGTCTCTCCTTGGCAAACCCTTCGTTTGACTACATTCGTCCTAAAAAAATTGTGTTTCAACTTACTAAAATATCCCGACTTGCCTTCAATAAATACGATGTTAACTAAGATATAACATTGTGTATTGCCACGCACGGATGAAGTTTCCTGTTTATTTGATACGGGTGAGGTTGTGGAAACTGGATCAGCATACAGTGAAATGTGGGTGGAAGGTTTTACTTTATAAACGGTTATGCCATTGGAAATTATAAAATTGAATTCTCTTTCCTGATAATTTTGTTTATTGTATCGCCTATTTTAGGAAATACGAATTTTATTCACAAGATATGAAAGGGGGTATTGATGAAGTCGAAAAATCTTTGAAAATATTGTACATCTTTCTAAATATTGGTAATAGTTTTGGTAAAAATGTCAGGTTTATTAAATGCCTCATTATTTAAAAAAATAATTCCAGGAACATTTTTTTAAATTTTTATTTTAAATTCGTTTCGTCTTACTGCAGAATTAATACCTAAATTAGAAATAAAGAAATTTGCTTTCAATTTATTAGATATTTCATTAAAAACATGCCTCACTCACATTTTGTATTATGCATATAATACAGTCGCTGGCATTAAGGAGATATTAAAAATACATTGCTAAACTAATATACAATCAGTTGACCTATTTCATCGCAATTTATAATTTCACAATCATCTGTATTTTTTGTTTCACTAGAATTCGCGTAAAGAAATTACAAACATCAATACCAATTCCTACTGTGCTGAGCCGGGCTTCACGGTATCTGTCAAGTACAGTAGCCAACATCAGCAGTCAAATAGTAAACAGTTTTTGTTTGGTGTCAACGTTTTTTTCTCTGTTGGTCAAGGTACACCACTCTGAATTCGTTTGTTGTTTGCGTTTTGGATTAAGCCGGTATCAAATTCAATGGGTACATACCACAGAACGTCGTTCAACCGATTCCATAGTTCAGAAAAACTGAAGGCTAATGTGACACAATTGAATAAAATTTGGATACTTTTGATGATTCACGAATGTCGTAGTCGTCATTTTGGATTTGAATTGAAAAATAAAATTGATCAGGCGCAGTGGTACTATTATATTAATTTAATACCGGAAAATTATTATTGGAAACTTGAAATTACAAAAATTTGGGGCTACATCACGACGACATAACAAAAAATTGCTTAAATTCAACCGAAATGTAGTTTATTTTTTCTATATTTACATCTATTAAGTTTGTAGTGTAGCTATGTTATGTTTCACCAAAAATCATGAATCACTTATTGTTGTTAAATTCTTATCGATAGAAGCATGCAACTTATCAGGGACATAGGAAACAAGCTTCCCCACCTGTCAGCAAACGGGAATGAATTACCTTATAGGAACGCATGCTATTGTTGTGGGCACTTGATAAGAAAGTAGACAGAAAAATTTTGGTAAGTACCGATGGAAATTTAAAGCCCCATTTGTTACCATAGCTAAGGTTTGTTATTTTAGCTGAGACTGAGCCACGAGCATCTGCTTTAGACATGTTACATGTAGCGTTTACTTCATTTTATTTTATCGCTAATTTTTGGTCAAAAAGAATTTATAATAGCGAGAAAAAAGCAAATTTTTCTATAGTGGACATACAAAAAATCAAATGAAAAAACACAGGGTATTTTATAGCGAAGTAATTATAATGCCTGCCCCTTTTTGTTTTGTTTGGACGATTCGACGAGCCTTCAATTTAGTACAAAAACAACATAGCTGTCAATAATTGGATAGTTTGCATATAAAATGTCTTGCAGTCTACCTAGACCTATGGCAGAACATTGAATATTTTTCTACTTTAAAAACAACAGGGGGTGAAATTGGGTGGTCTTGGTTTAAATTTTGCGACAAATTTCTGATTGACGGTGTTATCCCCAACCCCCTGTCATTATAATCGAAATTTGAAACTTATCGGTGTCAAATTACATCTCACGACCCCCGATTGTAGAACGAACCGGAGACAAGTCGCTAATGGATTGAAAAGTAAAGGTGTTGGAGCGTTAAAATTGAAATAGGTGCAAAATTAAATTTTTGGTTCCCATGCAGAATACCTAGTATTGTAAAAACAATTGGTGCATGTTAGTTGAGTTGCACAGTAATTTATGCTGCGATTTACTTGTTATAGTTAACTGCTACTTTCAATACATATGAATCATGAACGGCCACGCTCGGCGGTTTTGCAAATATGCAAAAATTTTATCAAACATTTTCAAAAGTTTATCTAAATGGGGCAAACAATGACCCTTGCTCTATTTTTAAGATGGATTATATTAAAACGTGCACGCGCGATTGCCCCGTACACGACTTTTGTAACACCTGTTCTTGTCGTTCTTCCATATGACAGCAACTTAAATTTATAATGGATCGAATAGAATACATAAAATATATCTTACATAAGGTTCTATTTAGGATTTATAGAGCAAATCGGTCGCCAGTTTCATAGATATCCATAGTATCCGTAAAAGTGAAAAGATAGACCCTGTCGGTAGTGAATTGTCAAAAAAGAATAAAAATTGTGTATGGGTACCCTATAAAATAAAACAAATTTACATCAAAGCGCAGCCTAAACATAGGACAAGCCTTTACATAACATACCGTACTTGCTTGCAGCAGTACACCCTTTGAGAAGTTGCCATCAAAATCAAACTTGCTGTATATATAGCAGTCTGATATGACAATATATATGAATCGCGATTGGTACAAGGTAACTAACACTTCTCCTAACCCACTATTGAAACGAGACATCATAGGGGCTATATTTATTACCGAAACATGTTCATTAGAAATATTCTGTTGTTTAATTCTTTCAAAGACTGATGAACTCACGAACCATGTATGAAACTACTTAACAAGAGATATTGACTGACGTCATCATAAACCACACTCGCGCTAAGATCAGTGCGTTGCTATCTACCTTCGCAGTGTTGCTACTTAAACTTGTGTAATTTTGAATTGGTTGCAAAGGCGGACGCAAAGATGACCTTCAACCAACAACACGGGCATTAATCTCCTCGCTTATTTTTTATTCACTGGAGTTTGAGAAAAAATATTAATACTTTTGGCAAAAATTTTGTTTTGCTTGGATGACAACAAGCTCAAATATGCGAAACGTTATTTTGAAACAAACAGATTGAAATGGAGCCATGTGGGTCACCGTTTAAAACTCATCAAATTTTATATATTAAAGTTTATTGATTAGTACTGATTTGTGTAGATTACCAAATTAAACAAGTTGAAAAGGGTAATCTAAAGAGCGTTATGCCACAATAACATGACCAACAATGATCTTTCGTTCACAACTAAATAGAAAAATGCGTTCGGGATATTCAGTGCATTTTGTTAAATCAAAAAAGCAAAGGTACGATAAATTGAAATTGTTTCTGAAAAGCGTTTCTTTTTATGCCAAATTTACGACCTAATATCTGCTGTCATTTAGACTAATTTTTAGAGAATTTTGGCAAACTTAGAACTTTGATACAAATTTATACTTCAATAATATTCCGATACCAAGTATAAATCACGAGGCGATTTAAAATATACTTGATTAAGCACTTACCATAGATACCCGCACTTCATCAAATTATTCAAAGAATATATCCATCTCTCGTGAACCTTTAATAATTTAACTCATGAATGCAAATCCTTCGCCAATCGAAATATCGACGTTGCTTGACTGAGCGTCGATTACCCTCAGACAAAATGGCGTCAATTTGGAGATACGCTTAATATCCTACCTATAGGTGAACTCAGTCATAGGTGTACGTATTTTTGGCAACGCTACCTTAGTCTACCGCGTTTTGCTTAGCTAAACATCCTATAACTTGGCAAGTAGGTCAAATATAGAACACATACAGTATTTTCTATATTTTCGGTAAATTTTAATTAGATCATTTAAGGTGGTGGGATTAGTTTTTCCACCCGCTCATGCCATTTGAAGTTTGATTCTTTTATATTCACTTTAAGTTGTAAATTGTATGTATTACACTTTTGAAAATGCTCTCCCTTTAATGTGCCATTCTTGGTTTAACACAATACGACAAATTTTACTTAGAATGGATTCTTTGTTGGGACATTGTTTCTGAAGTTAGTCTAGACTTGGCGCGCTCCATTTTTATGTATGCCTTTTGTTGTAGTATTTGATTTACTGGTAAAGGTATATTTGTATACATTCAACTATTTTTCATACAAAACACATGTCTAGCATAGGTATTTTGTTAAAACAATTGGAATAAAGACAAATCAGTCAGTTGATTTGGCTCACATGCTCAGGTATTTGATATACCTGTTACGAGTAGTCTTGCAAAGCGTATGCAACTCGGCTGTTAATTAAAATATGGAGTTATTAAATCATCACAAAAATTGATATAATTTTTCTGAAATATTTATTGAAAAAATTAAATTGAAAAAAGAATAATTCGAAAAATAGTAAATGATATTAAACAATAAAATTGAGAAAAAATAAAGGAAAGGAAGAATTCTTGTACAAGCAATTATTAATTTTATTATTCAACAATTAACATAATATGATGAGTATTAGAAAGATTGCAATAATTAGCAACAGCAATTTCTGAATGAAGTTGGAAAAATTGCACCGAAAGGATATTATAGCATTCAATTTCAAATTGATTTAATTTTACACTCAGCAACATTGTATCATTATTCGTTAAAAAAAGAAAAACGAGAATTAGCTGATGAGTAGCGCATGTCATGTTAACAATTCGGAAAAATTGAACAAGCAATTTAGAGCATGCAAAGAAGTTCTGTCGCCTGGGCGCTAACGGACTGCCATTCCTGGCCCTGTGCCATGTGCGCCTGTTTTGCACTTTTTGTGGAGATTAACTCCTGAGAGCATAATTTTATGCGTTGTTAGTGATGGCTCTTAGTTGTAACTTATGCCATTGCAGCGTTAGTGCCATGCTGAGGTACGCACCCTTGATAATAAGCAGTCTCGTTAATTCCCTCTTCGATTCCGGCGTGACCCATTGCTGATGCGTGTTGAAGACCAGTACCCGATTCCATATGATATTGCATTTGGTAATAAGGGTGTTGATGATGTAATTGACTGCTTTCCGATGGAGAGCTTGACAATCTTGATACATTGGTTGATGAACAGGTTGCTGATGAATTAGATCCATGAATTGAATCGGGTGTAGTTGAAGGTGGCAGCGGCTCGAGTGGCGAAACTTCTTGTACGTTGTGTGTCGATGCCGAATTTGAATATTGTTGAGCATATTGCATCATTTCATGGTAAGCTCTCATGTCTTTGCCTTGTTGTTGACCTTCACCAGCGTTCATAAGACCTCGGATTGAGAATGGATGGCTGAATGAATGAGCAAACGGATTGTGAGCGTGATATTGAGAATGATGACCATTGTGTTGAGCTCCAGTTGTAGGAAAATGTCCCAAATAGAATTGGTGATGTGAATACGAGATCGGATCGCTCTTGGTTTGTGCCAGACTTTCATGCGTGTTGATTTCAGATGGTGAACTAGAAGGCATTGCACTGCTGTATGAGGTAGCCTCGCGAGGAGATGTCGTACGCTGTACCACGTTTCGCTGCAAACCGTGATGCTGTGCCGCTCGCTGGTGGTGAATGTCATGTTCATTTGCTGATGACGAAGGTACTTCCAGATGAGAATAACTAGGCATTTGTTGTTGATGTTGATCTAAATTTCTAGGCGATTGTTCTCCGCTTGAGTTTTCTGGTCCGCTATGTTCTTCGTGGCTATCTGAACGATTTGTCGTCTTTGAGATATGATCGCGTTCAAATTCATGTTGACTGTGTGGACTTTCATTTGATGAGTCTTGAAGTGGAGGAGTAGTTGCCGGTGATATATGTTGCAAATCGAGCTGAGGAAGATTTGAAGGTTCGTGGCCATTTTTGTTGACACTTTTCACGTTCGATTTCTTTCCGCACTTGAATCGTTTCTGTCTTCGAAGGTAGCAGCCATTTTCGAACATGTTGTGAGCTTCTTCGTGAAGAGACCAATATGAACCTTTTCCTGGCTTGTCTGGAGAGCGAGCAACTTTGACAAAGCAGTCATTGAACGACAAACTATGACGAATTGAGTTTTGCCATCTTTGTTGGTTCTGGCGATAAAAAGGAAATAAATCCATAATCCATTGATAAATTTCACTCAGTGTCATCATTTTCTGTTTTGATGATTGAAGCGCCATTGTAATCAAAGAAATGTAGCTGTATGGTGGTTTGGCGTGAGTGTAATTTCTTCTGTATGTCTTTTCTGGTCTTCTGTTGAAACCCATAGGAACGATTGGTAAGTTTGGACCAAGTCCTACGGCCGGATTCATGCCCGGGTATGCCGAACCCATTCCGCCTACACCGACCGCCATTTGTGAAGCGTGTGCCGAGTGTGCATGGACCCCCGCCGCAGATCCCATGCCGTTCAATGCACCGCCGGCAAATGCTTGATTCATCGGATTATGAATTCCAGCAACTTGATTTCCAGTGATTGACATCGGATTGATTGAATTGACGTATGATGATGGCATTGAGTTAACCATGTTCGGCATACTAACTCCGTAAGATTGCTGGAATGGCTGGTATTTTGATGGAGGAGATGAAAGCATCATAATGTCGGTATTGAACGATTGCGCTGAAAGTTCAGTCTATCAAGAATAAATAACTCGATTCTTGCTTTCTCCTTCTCGTTGTTGTAGCTTTGATTCACTTTGCTTGATGATTAAATCCAAATATTTCTTGTACAATATATCTGAGCAGAGAGTCCTAAAAAGAAAATGGCGGACGGTTAGAAATTGAAAGCGAAACAGAAACAGTAGTCCCCTGTCGTATGTCTAGATCTATTTAGTCAACTGTGCAACAACTCGCTGCCAAATTCTCAAAATATTTTTAAAGTCAACGCTAAGTATGTTATTCGATATTTTAAAACTTTAACAATCTTATGCAACTAAGCCGACTAATATTTTGCAAGTCAGCGCCGACCAAGACGCAGAATGCTTTTGATCGGTTGAAATTCTCCTTTTTCTCGTATAAGTAAAGCTTGAGATATTATCAAAACTTGAAAACATTTTACTTGTAAACTTCAGACAACAAAACACAATTCAATGTATTCGACCTTCAAAAGTATTTGACCTTCAAGGTCGGATTGATTTCAACATCACGAAAGAGAAAATAACACGAGAGAAAGTTGCAACACATACCTTGTATATATTCCCAGTAGTTTAGTAGTGAACAATCTCGCTTGTAGATTCCAAATATATATATTCGATTTTTATACTAAGTCAGTAACTCACTAATGAAATACTCTTTATGGAACAATACCAAATTGAGTTTGTGTGGTCAGTCAACAGTGTTCGGCTTTTAAAGAACCAATTGGGCATTTTTTCTTCGCCCGACCGCCTTTGGTTTGTTTATCTTATCGCGGGTCGTCCCGTCAGTCTCTCTTCTCTCTCCCTTCATTCTAATGTGGCACTGCCATCAATGGGGTTTCCTAGATAGAGTTGTTAGAAATGCCTCGTTTCAGGTGTCGCCGCTTCTCTATCGAGATGAGTATCAACCGATATCACTAATGCCTACTAATGAGTCGCGGTGCCCCTCAACTTCTCGTATCAGCCAATTTCGATCGGTAGACATCACACGCCCTTATCTATGTAGACCAGTTAATTTAGGATCACCTCATTTTAGAAATTTTCCCTATTTGTCATTCTAAAATAAAACATGTAATTTCTAAATTATCAAAGTTTATTCTGATGCCAATAAACGAAATTGTGGAAAACCAACAAAACACCGAAAACACATTACAATATTGATTCATTTTATTTGCTTTTCCTTGTCTTGTATACTTATGTCCAAATATCAAAATACCCGTTCTTATTTACCTAAACAAATTTGCCATTCGATTTTGGTTTTCAAGGCATATTTGCATTGAACACATCAACAAAATTTTATGTTTTTTCACCCTTTGGCTTATTTGTTAACTCCCGTATTATAATATTTGCAGTTGGCTTCAAGTGTTGCCACAAGTCAATATTTAGGAACATGCCGGGACACTCATAGAAAGCAATTTTCTGTTTACAGGGTTATTTTAGGAAAATTTTGGCCAACGTACATTTGGATAAACTACGCAAACACGACACCTTGCGTGTGTAAGTTATTTATTGATCTGTGATATAAGTTTTGATCTGAAAATTAAACCACACTGAAATTAAAAAGAATTAAAATTTACTGACAGCACTCAGGAATTATCCATTATACATTGAACAAGTGAACTTCTGGTCGAAAATTACAAATGATTCCAACTTTCAACTGTTATTTGGGAATGCTTTAATGATAAATACATAAAAACACTTCAGGAGCGTTTTTAGTAGTTTTACAAATTGTCTTTGTTAATTTAAATTTAAATTTTTGTGGAGAATTAATTAAGAAAGCTAATAAATAGCCATGTGTGATCTAGTATGGTTGGAAAAATTGTTATAAAAACATTTGCATTCATTACTGCATTGATTCCTCTAAAATGTAGCATTTAATTTGTAACGGAAATGTTTTCATTGTTCAACTTCAATTATTCAAAAATATTGCAACAATATCATTCAGGTGTGCAAAACAAATGCAGCCAGCGGTGATGCGTTCAAGAACAAACACGCACTACCTGCGCACGCCAAGATCACCGGAAAACCCGTAGTGACGCTTCCTATGATGAGGCGAAGGTGCTACATCGCAGGTGGGGACGCTGAGATTAATTGCAATTAATGGGATAATTAGGTATATTGAAAGCAAAAGTGACTTTTAGTGTAACATTTTTTAGTCATGGGCTACATCTCCGAATACTGTTAAAATTTACAAAGGGATTTAATCGCACGGGCATTCACAAACGAATTGATTTGTCCCAGGTTTGACTTTAACAAACTTTGTTTTCTGATAGCTGACCTTTTCAATGACCCCGGAATTAGTTTCGGCCACAAAAAGTATGTAAAATTATATTCGTATATTACTTGTTATGACCTAATATCTTCACAAAATGTGGAATCGGTCAAGAAAAGACATCATGACGTGTCAAAACATGACGCCACTTTGTGCGTCAGCTTTGTGAGGTAATGGGAGGATGTAAATGAAGGTTTGTGCGGACAAAATATTGCATCAATTCAATATTGAGTTGGAAATGAGTAATTTAAAAAATTTACCATATTACTGAAAAGAACTCATTTTAAAATTGATCGTTTCAATCGCATAATTCGTTATCTCAAGAAATATCAAAGTGTGTCTTATCACAATACCTTAATAAAATCATCAAACAAGTGAATAACATCATTTTCTGTTTTAATATTAGAAGTCTTAATTATGCCCCACAAAGCGCCTCTAATTTGAACCACAAACCGATAAGATTTTATGTTATCTTGAAATGATATCTCGGGATTACTGTTTCATGTTATGTCATTGGTATTTTGATAGACATTGTTACGTCATATACTCTATTGTGTTGTTCATAATCATCACTAAGTATTAGTGATGTCCACTGTACACAATTTAGTAAAATGAAAACGATAATACAATATTACGAACATGGAAAATTTTATATATAGCGATATTCCCAATTACCCGGATGTTAAGAATTTTCCTGTAATATCTTTATTTAACAAAACGGTAGGTTCATTTTGAATACATTAGTCACCTAGGGTAGGGTGACCACCTGACTGAAAATAAACGGGACTTGACTTAAAGAGTTACAAAATTGTTGCTGATGTACATTGTGTATAATAAATATATGTGCAAGAATTTATTCAAAACACGTGCTATCAACTAGCAATTCAATAGAATGAAACGAACAGTAAACATCCATTTTCCACTCGACGTGTGTAATGATCTGATGAAGTAGATACCAACAGAATCAAATAAAACCGCTCTGATATCATATCAGTGAATATTTTTCTAAATCAGATTTTTAGTCAGAATTAGAAACTTGATGATTTTGAATTAGAACATTTCTTGAGGAGTGAAAGGTATCTCAAAGAAATGCCGCCGAGATGAGATATTCACATTATCAATGGCTGATAAAAGATTAAAGTAAATGGACATTGAAAATTTAGAAATAGCATTCATGATTAGAATGCCAGTTTATTGTAATTGACTTTGTTCAAACTTATTCTAATTAATGCACAACGATAAGGCAATCAAGTATTTTTATTTTTCGTACACTAAATAGAAATTTTTTTTCACGTAAACATATGTGTAAAATAAATAAATCCAAAGTTCAATTTCCTACAAAGCGGTCCAGTTTATTTAAAAGCAAAAATGACGTAGAGTATTTATTATTAGATGTGGCTCATTTTAAGATTGGTAATATTTGAAGTCGGTACAAATAATATTTGGTACATTTGAAGTAAGTACATTTGAATATAACTTGTGTATTGTTATGTCACTTATAAAAAAAAAGACAAGAATACTAATTAAAGTTAATTAATTCAATAAAACGAAAAAAGAAGAAACAACATTCCATTTTGGTCGTCATAAAATCGAGTCTGTCTTCAACGACACGAAATCTGTCTGTTAACGAGGACATGCCCGTACAAATGCAAACAGAAAACTGCGCTAAACAAATAAAATTAATTAAGCCGTTCGAGGTCGGAACGTTAGATTTCTACCAGACGCATAATTTCGAGGTTTGGTGTAAGTTGAACACCCTATTATTCGTTTAGCGACCAATTTAAATTTAAGCATCGCCCAAGCATGGAATGCTATTCCGCATTTATATTATTCTTCCGATTATGTTTGGCATTGCTGATAAATACCCAGAATCCAAACTTATATCCCAAAGTCAAATAAAACTTCGTGAGTCTTTAAGGTCAAATGCTTCAGTCCAATAAATCGTCAATGAGATTCCCACAGCATCGTCGTAATTCACGGAGAGGTGTTATAGAATGGCGACGATTTAATCTCGGAAGATTTGAATGTGAATTTAATTATATTTTACGACAAGAGGGATGAAGAAAAGGGCTACTTTTGGGAAACCTGAACTCTCATTCACATAACTTGTTCGCGTTTCGACAAGGATAAAATTTGCCGCCCTGAAATATATAATATTATCTTTTTTTTCGTTAAATACATCTACAAGAATACTGTAACAAGTATTAAAACTATTATATCAGATGGCAACATTTTTGTGGCATCGCATCTTTATGAATTCATCAATGTAAAATGATTGTCTGTAGCAATCTGAAATTGAATTTTTGAAAGTGTGATACAACAAGATTCTATAATATATGTGAGTACATTGCGAATGTCGTTTATCCAATATTAAAACTCATTCTCTGCACGAGTATTGAAATAAATCCAAAACAAATTCAACATATTGTTCAATTCAATTCAACATGTACATATACAATATACATGATCAATCTCAGTTATTGAGTATCAGAGATGAGCAAGAAATGTTTTAATGATGTTACGCTATACGGAAAATCGTACCGAATTTCAATGAATATAGATTTTTCTGGCTGTTTCTGTAACTGAAATATTCGAGAATAAATTGTGTGACCCCCACAACTAGAAATAATATCAGGATAACTAAAAATACATGCTATCCGCTTATTAGTTATGGTGAATTTGGCATGCACCACCAATTAAGTTAACAACAATATAGATAACCTTGAATAAACATTACATGTTTGCTCAATTATTTGGTTCATTTAGGCCTTTTGCATTATGCAGATAATAATATTGTTTTACTCAGGAGAATAGACCCGTGGGTCAGATGAAAACACGCGAGCAGGATGGAAATAATGATGAATTCCCGACTCGACAACAAGGCATTCACACCGCCATTATTGATTTATCGAATTAGTCAGAATATTGCTCAAGCCTCATTGACTGCTGTTATCGAGACAAGCCGAAACACTAGTTTTAAAATACTTTCCAAACTGCAAAAAGTCAAAGTCTTGACAAATGATCTGATATACATATATTCACAAAGGTCGTTAAAGCAACTCCGGGGGTCACGTCAATCACTTACATGTTGCTTCCTAGTCCGGAAGTTTTCTAATATTCAACATTTTTTTTGAGTTGAAGCGCTGATCGATTTTAAAACAATGATAAATGGTGTCTTTTTAAAACTATTCAAATGTATCCCACTATTAAAAACACTAATATTTGCGGCAAATTACTTATGTAATTTGCAATGTGTAAAAGCAACACCAACCCCACAGGACACCGTGTCAAGATCGCGGGTGGGCGCAACGAGGCGTGACTAGCTTCCCGCCTAAATCGAAGACCAATTTGTTCTCAATTTTCAAAGTTCCGGTAGAACGTGGAAAGTAATATAGAGATTACGGGATAAGGCTAAATTTTGAATTTAAACGACATATTTGGCAACCGTTATTGGATGAATCTTAAAATTGTTATTTTTCAAGCTTAACAGTGAACTGATATCTTAAAGCAATTTTCTGTTTAAATT